TCCCACCCGCCGTTGTGGGCGGGGACACGACCGCCCGCGTGACGCAGGGCTCCCGCCCTCCTCCCGACTGAGGAGGAAGAGCAGAGAGGGGAGGGGGCGCGAGGGACGAAAACGCTAGGGGAGGGCGAAGGGGGGCGGTATAAGGGTGAGTGATTTCCTTCCGGCACGTCGCCCGCTCCGGGGAAGGGGGGGGTTTCACTTCCGGGACGGTGTTCCGGCCCATTCCGGCCCATTTCCACCCCCGGAGGTAGGTGCTGCACCCTGACTGGGCTCGGGCCCCGCACCCCGGTCCCGCTGTTCTGCACCGGGGCCACCTTGCCCCGTCTCTGACGCAGCCCGCTCCTCGGGCACTCAGCCACTTCCCTTCAACCCGTCTCAAGGCACCGGGGACCTTCCACCCCCTTGGCCCCAGGCCGGGCTGAGCTGCCGGACCCGCCCCCTCTCAGGGCCCCTCCCTCGGGACCCCGGGATGGGCGGCCCCCTCCCCCACCGCAGCCGGGACACACCCAGAGACACACACCCACCTCAGGGCAGCTCCCCGCCCGCCGACGCCTACCGCTTGGACCCGGTCCCCGGGCGCCGCCCCCTCCCTAGTCCTTTGCACTCACCTGAGCGCGCGCGCCCCGGCCCGACGCCTTGCTCGCCTCCTTCTGAGTTCCTCGGTGACATCTCGCCCCTCACCCATCTCCCCTCTCGCCACGCTTCCTAACGCAAACGAAAGCTACTCAAGTACCAGAGTGGCCAACCCCATGCCGTTCCCAATTCTCCCTCTTACAGCTCTCACCTCGCCAGTGCCGACGGTAGAGAAAGAATTTACTCCAGGGGCTTCCTCCTCACTGGGGAATTGCCGGAAACAGCAAACAAAAAAAGGCGCTGGTGTAGGCTCCAAAATAAACACATCTGAATTCATGATGGCATCGACAGAGGCTCTTATTGGATTAAAAGTTTCAAAACAAACAATAACGCTTTGGAAAAAGGTCAGATTGGCTGAAGTTGGTTCTTGAAAGCAGTGTGTACACTTCCCTATTTACTGATAAGTATGTTATAAATGCGGGCAATACTGTGAGCTTGTCAGGATAAGCTCTTGAAGTTTCAGGTCTTATGTAACTGTAATATCTTACAAATTTATTGATAAATGTTTGCACACTGGGCTCAGATCGATGTCTTCCTATTGAGATTTGTACCAACTGTACTCTTCACTACTGAAGACTGACTATTGGATGCAGTTACAGACTTAGTGTTTCAGCTAGTTATAAAAACTCCTTTAATGTAAAAATGTTGGCCATGCTTGGTAAATGCTCAATTTTTTACAAGCTCCGGGGAACTAAATTTCAGAATCAAAGTGTCATCACCACCCTGTAATTACCAACTTGGAATTTGGGTAGAGGCAGTTTTACCTAGTCTTTCCATATTTTGAGAACCGAACTTCAGGTTCTCTATATTTTGATTGAGTCTTGACATAGCTGTGAAATTTTTCTAACGTGGAGTTTCCTTCGAAGAGGAAAAAGCCATTTTATGAAGGCTCTAACTCTTAAGCTTAGAATATTGGCCTACATTCATGCGGGATATTAAGTCACCGTAAAATAGTAAATAATTCAGGTAGCACATAGTAAAATATTAAGAAGAGGGATATCTAATCAACCCATCTGTGATTACTTGTATTTATTCAAAAAGCTTATTTCTTTCCTCCTCCAGGGACAAATTGTAAAATTGTCAGGATTTTTTATTCAATTTGGAAATAACTTATGATTAATTCTTTTTTTAAACTGTCATAACTGCTTCCCTCCCGCTTCTGTTGAATTTCTGTTTTGGTGTTTGTATGCGTATTAGTAAGGAAAATATGGTTATAGCTTGAATTTTTAGAAGTCTAACAATCACTTTTTGATTTTAACTGTTTCTTGCTGTAAAACCTAGACTAAAAAACCTGTTGGTAATTCTGTTTCCAAATCTAAACGTAAGAAAAGTATCTCTTTACTTGAAGATTTTGAAATCTTACCAAATAATATTTTTAAATATGTTTGAACTGGAATGCATCAGGGGAATAAAATTATAATTATTAATGAGACTATGGTTTCTTCTTTCAGCAGGGTTGAATGCCTGCCTGCACTATCAGGCATGACCATGGAGAAAGGTGGGAACATACAATTGGAGATTCCTGATTTTAGCAACTCTGTCCTGAGCCATCTAAACCAGCTACGCATGCAGGGCCGACTCTGTGATATCGTGGTCAACGTGCAAGGACAAGCTTTTCGGGCTCACAAAGTGGTACTGGCTGCCAGCTCCCCCTATTTTCGGGATCACATGTCCTTGAATGAGATGAGTACTGTCTCCATTTCAGTCATCAAGAACCCGACTGTTTTTGAACAGCTCCTTTCTTTCTGTTATACAGGGCGGATATGCCTCCAACTGGCAGATATCATCAGCTACCTAACAGCTGCTAGTTTTCTGCAGATGCAGCATATTATAGACAAATGTACACAAATCCTGGAGGGTATCCATTTCAAAATTAATGTGGCTGAGGTTGAAGCAGAATTAAGTCAAACAAGGACAAAGCACCAAGAGAGACCTCCAGAGTCTCACAGGGTTACACCAAATCTAAACCGTTCCCTTAGCCCGCGACATAATAACCCAAAGGGAAACTGGCGAGGTCAGGTTAGTGCTGTGCTGGATATCAGAGAGCTAAGTCCTCCTGAGGAGTCCACCAGCCCTCAGATAATTGAACAGAGTTCTGATGTAGAGAGCCGGGAGCCCATTCTTCGGATCAACCGAGCAGGACAGTGGTATGTGGAGACAGGAGTAGCAGACCGGGGGGGCCGGAGTGATGATGAAGTTAGGGTTCTTGGAGCAGTACACATCAAAACTGAAAATCTGGAGGAATGGCTTGGGCCTGAGAATCAGCCCTCTGGAGAAGATGGAAGTAGTGCAGAGGAAGTCACAGCCATGGTGATTGACACCACAGGCCATGGTTCTGTAGGACATGAAAATTACACTTTAGGGTCTTCGGGAGCCAAGGTGGCTCGGCCAACAAGCAGTGAAGTTGACAGGTAAGTTTTGTTTTGTTTTTCCATCTAATGGCTCTTGTGCAGACATCACTAAAGTGGGTCCTCTGTGTAGTACAGAGAGCATCTTCCTTACCTAATGTTTTTATGTGTTTATGGTTTGTTTTTTGTTTGTTTGTTTTTTGGCAGCTGGCTGGTAAGAGAATCCAAACTCTTGATCTTGGTGTTATCAGCACCATGCTCTAACCAAGTGAGTTAACTGGCCAGCCCTTACCTGATGTTCTTAGCCAAAATAAGTTATTTGGGGAAACTGGAGGTATGCCAAAAGACTTGCATTCTTATTTTTTTTAAAGCAGGAAGCTCCCAGTCCTGAAGTATTCACAAAGCTGTGAGAACTATGGTAAAGTTAGACACTTCCATGAATCAGAATAGCATCTGCAGCCACACTAGGATCAGTAATTGCCAGGGCTTCTGGCATTCCAGGCAGGGAGCTGATCATCAGCTGGGAATCTGGCAGCATTGCCCTTCCTTGGTATGTTTTCACACAAGTAGGTGGCTTTGGGGAGTTTCACTTTTCATTTTAGCACTGTTTACTTTTCTTTGCCCCCACCTACCAAATTAGAAGAAGTATGGTACCAGCAGTGATTATTCTTTTCAAATTAGTGTAAACACAGTAATTCCAAAGAAAAGCTTCTTGGATGTTTTTCATTTCTTCTTTCACTTGTCATTTGATTATATCTTCCCTGTTATCTTTCATGGATGACTGCTGCTACCATGGGCCTGAAAGTGTCCTTTTTTTTCTACCAGTGCTATGTCTTGTGCCTCACTTTTCTCTTTCTAATACACTGTATTTGTCGGAACATTTCTTTTTGGTGCAAAGCACTAGTTTTAATATAATTCAGTTGAAAGTAAGTCTCAATTCAAAGAAATATTACTAATTTAGATTGGTAATATTTGTTATTTTCCCCCTTAAAAATAAATTAATATTGGCCATATGAGCAATGGGAACTAAAGGAGCTATTCTTTTGATTTATAGCTGGTCTTGAGAGACACATGTATCGTGGACGTTCAGGTAATACATGCTGTATCCACTTCAGGTGATCTTGATTTCAGTATTTTCCTTCTTGTGTCCTTAATAGTTAAAATATTCTTGAGCACAGAACTTATTGTCCCCCTATGTTAGAACTGGATCAGAAGTAATAAATGCAAAGATTTTTAATCTCCACGATCTATATCAACAGTCTGAAATATATAACAGGTTATTATGGGAACTGGGGAAAGGAACAATCAAAACCTAATAGTTACATAGAAGAAACAAAATTATAGACCCAGTTTTAATTTATTATTTTATGGTCTCTCAGTACTTATGTAAGGATAGAAAGGTTATATTTAACTTTAGCTTCACTAGCTCATATGGTCTGTCTTCTATGTAATTTTGTATTTCTTAAATTTACTAGGGCAAGCCTTATCTTTTTTTAAATCAGATCCTATATTGACTTGGTGAAAGTATTTCTCAGTTATCTGTTGTTTGGGTTTGTTCCCCCTTCCTCAGGCATAGGATAAAGAGGGGAGACATCACCATTATTTAAGTTCTTTAAGACTACTTTTCTATTAGTCCCCTTTATGCTCCTCTTCCGACAGATTTAGCCCCTCCGGCAGTGTGGTTGCCTTGACAGAGAGACACAGAGCCAGAAGTGAGTCTCCTGGGAGAATGGATGAGCCTAAGCAACCTAGCTCCCAGGTATGTAGTGTGGATTTAGGATTTCTGTAGTGGTTGGAAGAATTGTCGCTGTATATGAACAGAATATAATGAATAAGAAAGGAAAAATGTAGGAGAAATAACAGTGGCCCTGTTAAAGAAATACTATATTTAATTACTTTTTCTTTATTCTTGCTTGTGAGCGTGTAGGAAATACACTTTTGGTGTCAGCAGAGTTTGAGAAGTATAAAAAGATAACAAGATTGTGGAACTCTTTCCTGATTGTAGGAACCAGTCTGTAGACCTGAGAATAATAAAAAAATAATCCCTGAAAACTACATGCAGGTAATTTAGGACCTGGAATGGAAAGAGTCTGATTTTATATATGTGTGGGTGTAACAGTATATATGTATACCTAGTTACTAATTTATATATTATGTATTTGTAAACAAATTGCTATGCATTTTGTGTGTTTGCTGTTTTGTATGCTTGTATCTTATTTTCTTCCTGAGTCTTTTGTTAGACTAAAATGTTCTAGAAAGGATAGGAATTGATGTCTTTCTTTTGTTTTCTTTGCAACTCTCCTTAGCAACTAGTATAAGTAGTTGGTTGATATGTTTGTTTTTTCTCACAGGTCTGTATCATCGAAGATTGATTTTTAAAAATGTGGTGAACTCACCAAGTAGAACATGATAAATTGTAAACACTTTTGCTTTTAAAAAGGAAACACTGGTAGATTAAGATTGCATAGCTAGGGCCGGCCCGGTGGCGCACTGGAGAAGTGCGCCGCTTGGGAGTGTGGTGGCGCTCCCGCCAAGGGTTCGGATCCCATGTGGAGACCGGTTCCCACTCACTGGCTGAGCGCGGTGTGGGCGCAACACCGAGGGTTGCGATCCCGTTGCCGGTCCCCAGTATGGGCGCGACACTGAGGGTTGCGATCCCATTACCGGTCAGTAAAAAAGACAAAAAGGAAAAAAAAAAAAAGATTGCATAGCTAATTTTTTTAGCCTCTGCATTATACTGATAGTATCTTATTTAATTTTTATCTGAACCACTGGGTGTTTTTTGTGGATGTGGTATATTAATAGCAGCAAGATGTTGTTACAAACTATATCTTTAAGTTTTGAAAAGGTGCTTGAGAAAATGTAGGAGCTTGGAGGAAAAGTAAGTTTACTGATAAAATTAGGGCCCTTTTTCTCCTCATCTCTCAAAATCAGTGTGGTAACAATACCAAAGGTGACTATTATGTAAATAAATACAGTAATGAGACAGACCTTACAATTTAATGGGGACATAAGATAGACTAACAAATATATGAGATCATATATATATATATATATATATATTTTTTTTTTTTTTTTTTTTGTCCTTTTTGAGACCAGCCGCACCACACTCAGCCAGTGAGCGCTGTGAGCGCACCGGTCATCCCTATATAGGATCCGAACCCACGGTGGGAGCGCTGCTGCTCTCCCAGTGCCGCACTCTCCCGAGTGCGCCACGGGCTCGGCCCGAGATCATATATTTATATAATATAGACTTCAGTAACAGTAGGAATGCTTAAAAGGCAGTTACTGGAATCAATATCCACTTAAGGAAAGTGTTAAGGAGATTTTAAGTGCAGTTTTTAAAGAAATTAGGAAGACATAATTTATTCTATAAGTAGACGGGATAAGAATTGGAATTCTGCAAGAGTGTTTACCTGGCTGAAGCAAAAGGTACAGCTATAAAGAAATAGGAAATAAGTAATATTTGTATTATCTGGAGATGATATTAAAGGTGATATACATGCCTTTACAGGTATGATAGTTTATTATAGTGAATCTACTCATGAGTTATTTTCCCTTGCCACAAAGAACCAAAACAAAGCAAGGACCTACATTACAGTAAGAAAGACTTTAGGGGCCAGCCCAGTGGTGCACTGGAGAGTGCGCCGCTTGGGAGTGTGGCGGCGCTCCCGCTGAGGGTTCGGATCCCATGTGGAGACCGGTTCCCGCTCACTGGCTGAGCGCTGTGCGGGCGCAACACCAAGGGTTGCAATCCCGTTGCTGGTCCCCGGTATGGGCGCGACACCGAGGGTTGCGATCCCGTTACCGGTCAGTAAAAAAGACAAAAAGGAAAAAAAAAAAAGACTTTAGATAAACTTGAAGAACTTCCTGATTATGGAGGTGATTAAACCGGAAGTCACTCCTTTACTAAAAAAAAAATTCTGCAGCTATTTTTTTTTTAACCACATGAAGATTAAAATACTTGGCCTAATTTTCCAAGTAATTTATAATCTTTATAACCCAACTTTTCCTATCATTTATCAGCATTCATTAACTGTCTCAAATAGGTAGACTTTCTTCGTGTGTCAGAACCACATCAAATTTATTCCTTTCTTTGTATCTTGAGTCTGAGATGCCTCATTCTTCTCAGGTGTCGGGGCCCACCCAAGGCCCAACTCCTAGTTACATCTGTCCTAACTAGCGCAGTCCTCTTTGATCTTTCCTTCTCTTAAACCAATATTATAACATTTACAGATAGTGCAATATAATTTTTTGTAATTCTCTAGTGACTCATGTAAGTTGTTCTCTTATTTGCATTAATTTCGTGACTCCTTTAAATAAGAATCTCCTTGAGAGCAGAGACCGTGTTTTCTAACCTTTCTATCTCTGACATTGTCTTATCAGGAGTTTGAGTAATCGGAGTTGTTTTACCTCTAATTCTGAATAGCTAAGATTATTTAGTAGATGCTCAATAAATAGGCATCTGCTAAATAAGAGGGTATTTAGTTGCTTGTGAAATCCCCAGTTTTGGAAATCTTTAAATAACATTAATGCATCAAGTCAGATGATTTTTTTTTTTTTGTCCTTTTTGGAGACCGGCCGCACCGCGCTCAGCCAGTGAGCATTGTGAGCGCACCGGTCATCCCTATATAGGATCCGAACCCGCGGTGGGAGCGCTGGTGCACTCCCAGCGCCGCAGTCTCCCGAGTGCGCCACGGGCTCGGCCCAAGTCAGATGATTTTTTGAAGCTACTTCAATTCTTTGGGTCTCTGATTAGTAGCTGAAGATTAGGATGATGGAAGGCTCTAAAGTCCATGTCAAAAATCTAGACTGGTGTTTGTTTTAGAAGATATGGAAATCAGTACCAGCCAGCCACCCAAATGAAAAAATACGGAAGTCATTCATTTATATGGAATTTATTCATTACGTGGAATAATTCATTAAGAAATAGTTATTGAACCAGGTACTGGTTGAATTCCTGGGTATTTGGCAGTGCCAAATGTTCCTGTGCTCACAGAGTTTACAATCTAATAGGGAATTGCCAAGTGGGAGGAGTGAAGTGATCCCTCTCTTAGTAGCATTGAAAACCAGGAGGCAGCCATTTTTGCCCTTGCTTCTTTTTAAAATTCAAAATAAAACTACCAAAGATATATTACTGCCTTTGACAAGGACCTAATCTACATTGTATGTTCATATATTTGCTCCTCTGTTCCAACTTTACTACGATAATTTTTTAGATGAGATTGATAATGTGTAATTTTTGTGATTATAGTTGATCACTAATTACTAAAATGCATCTACTTTCCACATATGGACAATACTGGTGTGATATTACTTTCCTTAAAGTTGGGCAGGTTTTTTTAGGGAATTGTTACCCTCAAGATTATAAGTAATATGAGTTTGGAATGTTTAATAATAGCTAACATTTATTGAGCTACATCAAGCACTTTAGTGTGTTAACTCTATCAAAGCTCAAAGAAACCAGTGACGCAGGTGCTAGTATTTATTCACTTTACAGATGAAGAAACTGAGGGATAGAGTAGTTAAATAACTTGCTCAAGGTCACACTATAAATACAATTCAGATTTGAACCCAGGTTCCAGCATCATTAAATTCTTGATAATACATTCATATATATATATGCATAATATAATGCATTCAAAATATTTTAATTCCTTCCCACATGTTTAAAAAACTTTTTTTCCTTTAATATAATGAGTTCAGAAGTCAGCATACTAAAAAATCAGCAAGTAATTTCTGAATGGTGATATTTTAATACATAATTTTGGACAAAAAGCATTTATAAATCCAACACTTTTAAATTATTCATTGAAAGTAATATATTCCTACTCACTCCCAGCTCTCAGATAGGAAGAATCCATGTCTTCAGCCAGCTTACTCTTGAGGTCAGTTAAATTTTGAGTCATCCTTAGAATGAAGGTAATATGTTGGTATGGTGCCAAAATATTTTTTGGATAAAAAGAAATGCTATCACTTACAAGTTGTATACATTTTTATTAAGCTACCTACTGCTGGATTAAAACAGGGTATGAATGATGATGTCATAGCATAATTTATTATATATTTGCCATTATGTATTCTGTGTTGTCTGATATAGTAGCAATTAGCCACATGTCACATGTTGCTATTAAAATTTTAATTAATTGAAAACAATTAGAATAAAAATTCACTTCTTCAGTTGCACTAGCCATATTACAAATGTTCAGTAGCTACATGTGGCTAGTGGCTACTGTATTGGATGGCATAGATTATAGAACATTTCCATTATCACAGAAAGTTCTGTTGGGCCAGCACTGCCTAAGTACTTGATTGTCTAGACTATAATTGCAAGTGTAGGATCCAAGGAGTAGTATAAGTGAGTTCAGATTCTCCTATCACTGTAAAATAGTACATTCAGCACAGTTTAAAAAATATGCAATTTGTCAGCCAGAAAGTAACTTTACTGTGTTACTCTTTTATGGTAATAGAATAGAGTGTCCTCAGATTTTTTTTTAATTATTATGTTAATATCTTTACTTTTGGGGAGTAATTAATTTCCTGTTTGGTTCTCCACTAAAAATAAGCATATATCTCAGTAACAGGTAAAAATGATGCAATTACTTTTAATATGTGTGATTAGTAATATATGTTCTTTCTCGCTTATTTTCTTCACCTGGCATAGGTAGAAGAATCAGCGATGATGGGAGTAAGTGGCTATGTGGAGTATCTCCGAGAGCAGGAAGTATCTGAGCGGTGGTTCCGGTACAACCCCCGTCTCACCTGCATCTACTGCGCCAAATCTTTCAATCAAAAGGGGAGCCTGGACCGCCACATGCGCCTTCATATGGGGATCACACCATTTGTTTGTCGCATGTGTGGCAAGAAGTATACCCGAAAAGATCAGCTGGAATATCATATCCGCAAGCACACAGGCAACAAGCCCTTTCATTGTCATGTTTGTGGCAAAAGTTTCCCATTCCAGGCCATCTTGAATCAGCACTTTCGCAAAAACCACCCTGGTTGTATACCCCTGGAGGGGCCTCACAGCATCTCCCCTGAAACAACTGTTACATCTCGAGGACAAGCTGAGGAAGAGTCACCTTCACAGGAAGAGACAGTTGCTCCTGGGGAAATTGCCCAGGGCTCTGTGTCCACCACTGGTCCAGATTGAAACATCAAGGAGGAGGGGGCAGACCCTCGTCCCCTTTGGGCCGTAAGCAGCCAGCATCAGGACCATGGGCTGGTGCTTAAATTCACAAAATGCCACATCACTAGACCAGAAGATGCTCCCAAGATGTTGCCAAACTAGAGGATCAGCAACATACACAAAAGCACTAAAGGCTTTTCCCCTCCTCCATCCCACCTCACACTTTGGAAAATAGTCAAGCAAATCAACTTTCTATAATTCAGGGATCAATAGCCTTGGTTTGTTAACTTTATAAGAAAACAGTTTGTTTTTTTTAACAAAGTGATAAATGGTCATTTATCTACCAGTCATTTTTGAACACTGTACTTTGGTCCATATCATCCTGGTGGCTGTAAGTGCCCAGATCTAAAAAATGCAGCAGGATCCTTGGCCATCTGAAGCAGCCAACCACAAGAAAGTTGGAGGTAGTCATGATGGTGATGAGGAAGAGGACTTTATCCTCTTCCTTCCCTGCCAGAACATGCATTTTTCACATTTTAAGAAAAAGGAATACTGGTGGTTCTTTGTTTTGCAAGGTTAGACCTTATCTTTGGCTTGACTAGGCATCTAATGTTTTGCCTGATTGTTTCATGTAAATAGGCATCTTGGAGCAGTATTCTAGTGGGCAGCATCACCTGAAGCACTTTAAGCAACTTTATTTCATGTAAATAGGCATCTTGGAGCAGTATTCTAGTGGGCAGCATCACCTGAAGCACTTTAGGCAACTGATTGTTTCATGTAAATAGGCATCTTGGAGCAGTATTCTAGTGGGCAGCATCACCTGAAGCACTTTAGGCAACTGGCAGTGAAATGAGCAGCAAACTGTTTACAGTAGGTACTGCTACATTTGAGGGCTTGAGTGTTGTGTTGAGGAAGAAAGCAGGGAAGGAGGTGCTTTTATATTTTGCAAATGTCAAACAGCACAGAGTCGTATTGCAACTCTTCCTGACTGGTATTTGTAAATCATAATGCTTATACATCCTTGACTATTAGGAAATGGCTCTAGTGCAGATGAATTAATGTGTTAGGCTGACTACCAAAGTTTCATCCAGTCTCTTCAGCTCCTAATTTCACATAACAGCAATATGTACATCAAAAATGTCACTTTCCAGTGAAATGAGCCTGGATTGTATTTTTTAAATCCACAGGTCTCCATATTTGGTAACTTTTATATGAAGTTTTAAACACTTTTTTTCTGCAACATTGTGGTTGAAGAAATTCAACAATATGGTTCTTATTGCAACCACAATTCCATTTCCTTCTACATATGTAATAGTTTATATTTTCAGTCCAGTAGAAGAACCTCACTTAAGTCTGTGTCTCCGGTCTGCAAACCTAGTAATTTGTAAACCAATCATCAGCAAATTGCTGGTGACTCCAAGAGCTTTGCTTTTTAATAATATACTACAGGGCACTTACCAGAAAATATCATGCACAATCATGTTGCAATAAATGATCAAGGGATCAGTTTTGATCAGGTTTAGTTACTTAATCATTCCTAAGATTTTTAAAACTTCAAGGGACCTTTTTAGTAATTCTGGGTATTTTTAAGATTCTTAATCCAGCACTGAGAGAAAAAACTTACCAGACATGTAGCGCTTTAGATGCCCTGTCTTACATGCAGAGAGAGAAAGAGGAATGTTAAGGGATGCAGGCAAATAGATGCTTACAACTTAAAGTGCAAATAGAAAAGAGTAAAGTCTCTAGCTTCTCTTGATTAATCATTATTTTTTTTTCTTTTTTAGTATTTAAATATGTAATGGTTTCAGAAATTGTTTTGGTGCAGAAGCATAGATGATTGTAATAGAGATTTGGGAGGGGGCTGGTCATACCTGCACTGGTGAGCCATTATAAGAATATTAGTAATGTGCTCCCTTCTTGAGAATGCTTTGTGGTATGTGGAAAGGTGGGTAGAAAAGAATGTCACTTCTTTGATGATAAGAAATTAGAATGCAAAGGGTAGTTTGTAAGTAATCTGAGAATTGTACGTACACATACTGCTGCACCCTATCACCAGGGAAAGGTTATTTTCTCTTCTGAAAAGCATAGAAATGCATCTTTTATAGGAATGTTATGATGCTACCGTTGGATAAGCGCCTACCCTTAAAGGCAGCATTGAAACTGTATTTTTTCTTTAGGAGATAACAGACTGAGGCATCTTCTTCCTCTGTAGTCAGGCAGCATCATGATAGGGTAAAAACTGTCTCCTAGAGTCATCCTGGGGATTGGTTATACTCTGTGGCATAGAAAAGGAAGAGTTGAAGTTAGACTAAAATCCTTAGGGAAACATTTCAGCTGGTAATCAAGGCTTTCAATGGACATTAATAAATAGGGAGGTGAGAAGTACAGAATATGCTGCTTTAGATAGAGCTTCTAAGCCTACCAAAAAAATTCTACTTTTGAGAAATAGTATGCTGGAAAGTTCTTTATTGCTTTGTTACTTAGCTTATATGTGAGGAAATAGAGCTTTTAAAACTATTACCAAATTGTGAAAGTGAAGTGCAGTAATTTCTGTAACGAGAAACTGCAGCATTTGTCAATACTCCATCACGGTTAGCAACAAACATCTTAAAGGAATTAGGGACTGTCTAATTCATGTGGAAATGCCGTGAGTGTTTGTTGGGTCCCCCCTCCCTTTTCATTCACTTCTAATAGGTTTTTACTGTATTGATACTGTGAATAGACTGCTTCCTGGTCATCTAGGACCACATCAGCACAATCATGTTTGCTGGTTCTCTTCTCTTAACTGGCTGACCCAGAGCCATGAAATTCATGAAAATTCAAGCAAGGCTAGCTTTTAAGTAAATTAAAGCTTCTGAAAGCAATTTCCCCATTTTGGTTAGAAGAGATATTACTCTGAATAACTATCCAAGATTCTTATTCAGGTTCACTGTGACATTGTCCTAGTTTTTAGCTAACATCACTGTAAGGTTGTAGGTGTTAGTAATGTTCTATCTACATTAGTGAATACCTATACCGGTGTGTGCACTGAGGATACCTCTTTAGGATGTACTAAATGGACTTGAGCTGATGCTGAGAACTGATTACCAAATCTTAAATTGCACATGTCACCTTGTGAAGGGAACTACATTAGCAATGAGAGCTAAGTCATTATTAAGTACTTTAGTGCCATGAAATTTGCAAACACTGGGACTGTTTTATTGTGTGGCACTTAGTAGCACAGGAGTTATCCAGTATTCTCAGCAAAGTAGAGAGACTGCAATATATTAATCTACTTTCATTCTAAGATGTACCTTTTATTCTCTCTGAACTCTAATACTGGTATAAAATATAGTATTGGTATGAACAGTGACACTGTACTTAGGCAGAAACGCTCTTTCTAATGACTTGTTCTCTCTTTACTCAGAACCATATTTACCTCTGAACTGAGTTGAATTTTATTTTTTGTAAGTTGTAAGCTACCCCACGACATTTTGTTATACTAGAAGGTTAAATCTCATCTTGAATATGTAAAAATAAATTAGTTCATAAAGGATAAAGATTGGTAAAGAAGAGAGATAGTAGTTAAGGAAAGTTTTCTTGATTTTTTGGCATTTTAAAATGTTTCCAGTTCCTTCTACATCAGTGAAACAAGGTTTTCCAAGAAATAGACTGTTTTCCCCCTAACTTCATGTTGAAATTTGGCTTTGTTTGGAAGTGAGCTGGAAAAGTGAAAAAGGGAGCTTCATTCTTAGTAGCTGAATAATCTTTGGTCAAGAAATAACTTAGAAAGTTTTAGCTTTTGACGCTAATTGTTTTTCTTTTAACTGGTGAAAACTGCATTTTGTTTGATTAGAAGATCTAATTTAAAGAAATGAAAACAATGGATAATGGAAAGGAAATTGAACTGAACAAAGACAAAGATCATCTTCATCATAGTGGAAAGGCATTTAATCAGGAAGGAGTTGAGACCCTGGAAGTTTTTCTTTTTCAGAATCAACAGGTGTGTTTTATTTTTTCTTTTCCTCAAATGTCCTTGCTCTTATCTGTGTACTTATTTGTTCAAGGAATAACTGATGAGTTTTAATTGAACTCAGTCTTTGAAAATGGAGCTCTTATGCCATAGCGAAAAAAGTTTAAAATATTGGAATATTTTGGTTGCTAAGATTTGGAAAAGGGACAACAAGCAATTGTCAGGTAAATTCCTAAATTTGAGAGGATGCCCTTTAGCAAAGTATATCCATAGAACTAATGAATTAGATCAGGGTTCAGAAATCTACAGCCCGCAGCCCAAATCCTAAGGCCACCTGCTTGTGTAAAGAAAATTATATTGGAACAGGGTCATACCTATTCAATTAGGTATTGTTAATGGTTTTTTCCTATCATAATGGCAAAGTGGAGTACCTGTGACAAAGACCAGATGGCCTGCAAAGCTTGAAAATATTTGCTATCTGGGACTTGACAGAAAAAGTTTGCCAACTCCTGAAAGAATTACCCCCCAAATTTGTCACTTCTCTCATTTTGCTATAAATAATTTGGTTGATGTTTTAAATTCATATTGTCACATATGCATCAGTTTCTTGAAAGAGTTTGCCATCATTTTCTAGATCCTCTTCTCATAACCCTGTTTGTGCTTCTTTGTGATTCCCATTGATTTTAAGGCATTTAGAATGGAACTTATGATTTGTCCCTGCCTTAAAGGTACAGGTAAATTAAAATTTAGGATGGTAGTTATGACAAGATAATTCTTTAAAATAATTCACACGTGTAATGTAGGGTAAAATGGGTACCATGTTACATAAAATACCGTTAGAAAATTAATGTTTTTTATAAGTAAGTTCTTGCCATTCCTCTGAGTTAACTTGAACTGGTTAGCATAACAATAGCAAGATTGTATTTATTCCCACTAGAATTAAAAAACAATTTCTATTATTATTTTTTTTTTTAAAAGATGACCGGTAAGGGGATCTTAACCCTCGACTTGGTGTTGTCAGCACCACGCTCAGCCAGTGAGCGAACCGGCCATCCCTACATGGGATCCGAACCCGTGGCCTTGGTGCTATCAGCACCGCACTCTACCGAGTGAGCCACAGGCCGGCCCAACAATTTCTATTATTAATAAGAGTTTTTGTTTTTCGTCTTGGTGGATGGCCAGTATGGTGATCTTAGTGTTATAACACCACACTCTAACCAGCTGAGCAGACTGGCCAGTGCCATGAGTAAGTGTTTTAGTTCTTTTCAAAGTACTGTTTTTCTAGATTAGAAATCTGTACCCTTTCCCTGTACTATAAATCTTCATTTTAGTTTCCTCAAGTAAACTCACTCTGTTCCACGTGGAGTAGTAAAATGCCAAATCTTCCTCCCTTTTTTTTCTGGATGTTTTAAAACAATGAAACATGAGGATTTCAAGTTCGTAGACCTATCTTCTCATCTCTTTCATTGTCTATAATTCTTCTAAATATGTATTGGACCATTATGTATTTGCACTGTGAATGTTCACCCTTAGTGTTCAAATAGCTTACTTATACCAGGAGTGGAAAAAGTGGAAAATGTTCGGGTATTAATAAACAGAAATCCTTGCAAGAAGAGAATTTAGTTGCTCCCCATTTGCAAACAATACATGGACTTCTGAGCTAAATTTGTCTGGACAGTTTACTAGGCCAGGCTGATACAGTGTAGTGAGTTTGATTCTTTGTTGTGAGCTCT